TCCAAGAAAAACGGAATCAATATACTTACACATATGTGCTGTCCTGAAGATAAAATCATTCGAATTCCGGATTCATTTTTTAAGAACAACAACTTGTCTACTCTTCCCTATATCAACTCTGCCCCATTCCCACGAGCTCCTTTTCTCTCTTCCACAGGGAACCCGCTTCTATCATGCATAAGCTATAACATCAGCAATGAGCAAAGTCACCCCGTAAAAAGCAAATTAAAAAATATATACGTTTTTAAGTATCGTAACATCTAAAACATCTAACCTTAGCACCAATTTGGTTTCCACACTGTCCAGCCTGTAAATGTACGATTTCTCTCATTTTGTAAGAATATAAGACCCTTATCTAATCTGACTGAGGTTTGAACGATTCTGCGTCTGTGTCTAAAATGAGTTGAGTTGATTGTAAGCTCCCTGATAAATCACTGGTTGCTAGGCGGCCGTTACCAACACAGTACCAAAAACAATAGCGTCAACACCCAAGAGAATGCAGTGCTTATATAAATAATGATTACTAGTACAAGCGAACCAAACGAATTAACGAGGTTAAATACAAATTCTAATTGTAGTTATACTAATTATGCTCTAATTGAGTTGCACTAATCTTCATGATTGGATTACAAAATATTTTTTTTAGCAAAACACGCCGTTTCTTTCCTACGAAACTCTATTACCATTAGATGACGACATTTTCCAGATTACTAAGCATCTACTTAATTATGTATTGAAGCTTTTATTTTCATTAGTCATAGCCGGTTGGTTTTTTATAATCACCCAGTTCAAGCAAATATTAGATGAAATTTTCAGACGATAAGCAAGTTTGCTTACGATTAATTAAGTTTGCTCTGAGTTCGACAGATTTGAACTTTGTGTTGTTTGCTTAAATGAATTGAAGGACAATCTTTACAAAGTCAAACCACTTGAAAACATAGTCTACATTTAATTGGGATTGTAACGGTTAGATAAACAAACTAAGTATTGCTTTGTTTGAATGGTTTTATGAGGGGTGATTTGCTGTCATGACGACACTTGGATGGCGTCGTCATGATTATTATCAAAAAATCTAAAACTCTTAAATGTCAAACTCCGTCAGGCACGGCTAACTCGAAGATTTAATTTCAAGTTAGCATTTTAGGAGAGATAACTAGCTAAAAACTAGTGTGAGCTGCGTCGGTGTTTCTAATGAAACAGTAATGATAAAAAGGTAAACTATACACCGTGAAAAGATGAAAAAACTTACTGACGTTGCGGACGTACTAGCCCTTCGTCGGAGTAAAATACGAAGGACTAGCGTCCGAAACGTCAGAAAGTTTTTTCATCTTTTCACGGTGTATAATTTACCCTTTTATCATTACTTAGCATCATGTTAGGTTTTGCTGAGGGAGGGAAAATGAACAACCCGGAGAAAAACCCTCGAATCAAGGGAGATCGAGATCTAGCAAATTCTACTTAGATGAAGATGCCAAATTAACGAGTCTATAATGATAGTGGATAATCAGTTCGTCATTATAAAGAAGAAGAAAAAACCTTGAAACCATACATACGTTAACGCTTTGACTCAAAGACGTTAGGACCAGCCCAGTAAACAATACGGACAAAGACATTATTTTTGACTAAGAAGTGGTGCGTTCCCTCCGTCTATCGTGTGGAAAATTTTTTTGCCGTAAAATAATATTTTGGAACCGTGGCCGAGTATAAAAATCAAATAAATTGTTGGGCTTCCAAGACTGAGTTTTAAAAAAGCACGGTCGAGCGAGAAGCTAATATTCCCACCGTATTCTTTTAAAAAATTTGTTTATTCATTTTCGTTTTAAAGATAATAGTACTTTTGCAACGAACTGTCACGTTCTGATATAGTGCAGTTTTCGTATGACTGTGAAAAGCTCAGTGCCGTAAGCGCGACGTAACGTGACCGTGATACTTTCTAGAATTTTAATTGGCTGATTTTTTTCACGCGCAATATGATTGGCCTAAAAGTGCCGTGATCTTGGCGTGACCGTGTCCGCGCCGTGTTTATGCCGTGTTCCGGGTATTTGATTGGATGGAGAGTAAATTCTCGTGCAACGTGATTTGTCTGGCGTATCC